AAGATGAGTACATATATCATAATGTCGAGTTACTACTCCGATTAATCGTGTTAATCGATATATGATAATGTGTGCGAAGAAATGAAAGGCCACCATGGTACAGGAAAGGGAGGAAGAGGGTAATGGGGTACGGAGTACATGGTAGGAGGTAGGGAGTTGGGAGTAAAGGGTACAGGGTAGAGGTTAGTGGGTTACAGGTTAGGGGAGTAGAGGGTACAGTGTACAGGGAAGGGACGAAGGGGTGTGGGGTACAGGGTAGAGGAGTAGAGGGTACAGTGTACAGGGAAGGGACGAAGGGGTGTGGGGTACAGGGTAGAGGAGTAGAGGGCACTGGGTACAGGGAAGTGAGGAAGGGGGTGGGGGACACAGGGTAGGGGTGTAGAGGGTACAGTGTACATGGAAGGGAGGCAGGGGGTGTGGGGTACAGGGTATGGAAGTAGACGGTACAGTGTACAATGAAAGGAGGAAGGGGGTGTGGGGTACAGGGTAGAGGAGTAGAGGGTACAGTGTACAGGGAACGGAGGAAGGGGGTGTGGGGTACAGGGTAGAGGAGTACAGGGTACAGTGTACAGGGAAGGGAGGAAGGGGATGTGGGTAACAGGTTAGGGGAGTAAAGGGTACAGTGTACAGGGAAGGGAGGAAGGGGGTGTGGGGTACAGGGTATGGAAGTAGAGGGTAAAGTGTACAATGAAAGGAGGAAGGGGGTAGGGGGTAGAGGGTATGGAAGTAGAGGGTACAGTGTACAATGAAAGAAGGAAAAGGGTAGGGGGTTCAGGGTAGAGGAGTAGAGGGCACTGGGTACAGGGAAGTGAGGAAGGGGGTGGGGGACACAGGGTAGGGGTGTAGAGGGTACAGTGTACATGGAAGGGAGGCAGGGGGTGTAAGGTACAGGGTATGGAAGTAGAGGGTACAGTGTACAATGAAAGGAGGAAGGGGGTGTGGGGTACAGGGTAGAGGAGTAGAGGGTACAGTGTACAATGAAAGGAGGAAGGGGGTAGGGGGTACAGGTTAGGGGAGTAGAGGGTACAGTGTACACGGAAGGGAGGAGGGGGGTTGTGAGGTACAGGGTATGGAAGTAGAGGGTACAGTGTACAATGAAAGGAGGAAGGGGGTGTGGGGTACTGGGTAGAGGAGTAGAGGGTACAGTGTACACGGAAGGGAATAAGGTGGTAGGGGATACAGGTTAGGGGAGTAGAGGGTACAGTGTACAGGGAAGGGAGGAAGGGGGTGTGGGGTACAGGGTATGGGAGTAGAGGATACAGTGTACAATGAAAGGAGGAAGGGGGTAGGGGACACAGGTTAGGGGAGTAGAGGGTACAGTGTACATGGAAGGGAGGCAGGGGGTGTAAGGTACAGGGTATGGAAGTAGAGGGTACAGTGTACAATGGAAGGAGGAGGGGGGTGTGGGGTACAGGGTAGAGGAGTAGAGGGTACAGTGTACAATGAAAGGAGGAAGGGGGTAGGGGGTACAGGTTAGGGGAGTAGAGGGTACAGTGTACACGGAAGGGAGGAGGGGGGTGTGAGGTACAGGGTATGGAAGTAGAGGGTACAGTGTACAATGAAAGGAGGAAGGGGGTGTGGGGTACAGGGTAGAGGAGTAGAGGGTACAGTGTACACGGAAGGGAAGAAGGTGGTAGGGGATACAGGTTAGGGGAGTAGAGGGTACAGTGTACAGGGAAGGGAGGAAGGGGGTGTTGGGTACAGGGTATGGAAGTAGAGGATACACTGTACAATGAAAGGGGGAAGGGGGTAGGGGGTACAGGGTAGAGGAGTAGAGGGTACAGTGTACAATGAAAGGAGGAAGGGGGTAGGGGGTACAGGTTAGGGGAGTAGAGGGTACAGTGTACAGGGAAGGGAGGAAGGGGGTGTGAGGTACAGGGTATGGAAATAGAGGGTGCAGTTGTACAATGAAAGGAGGAAGGGGGTGTGGGGTACAGGGTAGGGGAGTAGAGGGTACAGTGTACAGGGAAGGGAGGAAGGGGGTGTGGGTAACAGGTTAGGAAAGTAGAGGGTACAGTGTACAGGGAAGGGAAGAATGGGGTGTGAGGTACAGGATATGGGAGTAGAGGATACAGTGTACAGGGAAGGGAAGAAGGTGGTAGGGGATACAGGGTAGAGGAGTAGAGGTACAGGGAAAGGAGGAAGGGGATGTGGGGTACTGGGTAGAGGAGTAGATGATACAGTGTACAGGGAAGGGAAGAAGGTGGTAGGGGATACAGATTAGGGGAGTAGAGGTACAGGGAAAGGAGGAAGGGGATGTGGGGTACAGGATATGGGAGTAGAGGGTACAGTGTACAGGGAAGGGAAGAAGGTGGTAGGGGATACAGGGTAGAGGAGTAGAGGGTACAGTGGACACGGAAGGGAGGAAGGTGGTAGGGGATACAGGGTAGGGGAGTAGAGGGTACAGTGGACACGGAAGGGAAGAAGGTGGTAGGGGTTATAGGGTAGAGGAGTAGAGGGTACAGTGTACAGGGAAGGGAGGAAGGGGGTGTGGGGTACAGGGTATGAGAGTAGAGTGTCGATGTACAATGAAAGGAGGAAAGGGGTAGGGGGTTCAGAGTAGGGAAGTAGAGGGCACTGGGTACAGGGAAGTGAGGAAGGAGGTAGGGGGTAAAGAGTAGAGGTGTAGAGGGTACAGTGTACAATGAAAGGAGGAAGGGGGTAGGGGGTACAGTTTAGGGGAGTAGAGGGTACAGTGTACAATGAAAGGAGGAAGGGGGTGTAAGGTACAGGGTATGGAAGTAGAGGATACAGTGTACAATGAAAGGAGGAAACGGGTAGGGGGTTCAGAGTAGGGAAGTAGAGGGCAATGGGTACAGGGAAGTGAGGAAGGGGGTAGGGGACACAGGGTAGGGGAGTACAGGGCACTGGGTACAGGGAAGTGAGGAAGGTGGTAGGGGACACAGGTTAATGGAGTAGAGGGTACAGTGTACAGGAAAGGGAGGAATGGGGTGTGGGATAGGGGGTTTGGAGTACAGAACAGGTAAGTAGAGGGTACAGTGTACAGGGAAGGGAGGAAGAGGGTAAGGGGTATGGGGTACAAAGTAGAGGTATGGGTAAATTCTGCAGATTTTCGTTGAAATGAATTCAGTGGTTTTCCAGAAATAGTAGCAACTGTAAGAAAATATATGGATGCATGACGGAGAAATGTGATCACAACAGGCCACCATGATATGTTCAAAATTCTCGCAGAAAATAATGGTTTTCTTAAAAAGTGCAAACCTGTAAACGCGAGAGCCTCTGATTGTTTTCTTCAGCATGTGTTGCCCAGACTCCACATTTTTTATCAATCAAATAAGAGTTTTGAAATGATCGATGAGAAACATATTCTGATCATTGTGGGATTTTTTTATTTTGTTTTAAAACATACACAATTTATTTTTCCTGTTAGCATATGTCTGGGCCTTGAAGTCATGAAAATGGTTTCAATTGTACACTTTGCAGTAGGCCTGTAGCTTTCAAGGTTAAACATTACCCCTGCGTGCCATATTTAAGTTAAACTTGATGTTCTATTAACATTGTGAAAATACGAAGTTGTTTGTTGGAATTTGTGCACCTTCAAATCTTCATTTTTATCACCCTACACACCAGCGGAGATTCTTTCGTATATTATTACTAGTATCAAACTTGAAATATGGAACAAATCGAAGTGTCTTTTTACATGAGTACATACATTTTAAAGATTTAATTTAAAACATAACACATACATATATATTTTTCTTCCTTCGGATTATGGTAATCTTTTAGATACATGAAATATTAACATGTTGTTAGGGATATAATATCCTGAATTACTAATTACACGAGTCTACTGATAAGTTAGTGGTGTAACTGCGTGGTTCCGGCAGTAGCAACTGTCACTATTGATCTGTTTTTGTCGAGAGTAGGTGTGGCAAGTACTACAGAAGGAGTAGTATTATCGTTTGTTTACTGACACACTATGCCTATAAAAAGACACCTTGGCAACTACTCTAGGTCAGATGTTCGATATTGGGTCTCGTGAACACTTCTAACTGATGTTAATACCTTGGAATTCGCTAAATATAATTCACCTTAGAATTAACTGATTGACCAAGTGACGTAGCGGATGTATGGTTGTATAAGAATATTAATTGGCAAGGACATATGGTTGGATTTGGTTGACAACACTCATTGGTTAGACACATAGGTATATCTGAAATTCAACCATGTGTGGAGGAAAAAAAGCCGTTCCTGGTCTTTCTTTGTTGTAGCTTGATGCATGTTTCCGGCTGCCTACAACTATAGACATAACATTTAGACATAAACTAGAAACGATACTGCACCAGGAACTAGAGTCACGGACTTGTGAATGATGATATTGAAAGCTACATGTTATTTCGGGGAGAATGTAAGTAATGTGTTTCCATTGAAATCGTTACAATGTATTGATATCAAGGTCTGCATTGCACAAGTGTTGTGTTGGGAGCAAATGTACCTATAACTGCTGTTATCTCAAGATTGAAAACATTTCGAAATCGATATAGTTAAGTTATGGTTGAGATATGGTTACACTGCAATGTTGTCCCAGGCATGTAAATCAACATCGCCAGTTTTACACGCGCACAGCTGATGATAATCTCCATCGAAAACGTTAATAGGTTTGACAGAACATAAAGAGCAATGGTAAAATGCTTAGAATTTCATGACGATTGATATGTCATATCATATCTCTCAGAACGTCTGTATATCATGAGTAATTTATATTGTTCTTGTAAACAAATATTGTATCTGAATGAATGTATACATAATAATCAATCAGATAATCAAATTAAATCCTAATCAGGCAAGTACTTCATAGTAAGAGGAGCTAAACTCACAAAAGTATGGGTTTTGTGCCTAATAATTAAATATGAAAAATCGCATTATTCATTCTATCGATATAAATCTCGCTTTTCAGGATGGATAAGTACCACAACATCGTGTTCTGGTGAACTCGGTCTTTGTTTCACGATTGAACATTTTGAAGCAGTCCGTGTATTATGTCCGATATACTGATGGCCTTCAGAAAAGCTGTTAACAAAGCTAAATTGAATGAAGAGGAACAGAAACATGTCCGCCAATGCTTCATCTGTAATGAAGATTTCAAAGACCCTAGACTTCTGGATTGTTACCACACATTTTGCTTCGAGTGCATTAAAGAATATATAGACGTTAACTCCAAAGGAGATAAATTCAAATGTCCGCTATGTACAACGGAGACAAACCTCCCGCAAAAAGGACCGGACGAGTTTGAAAAGAATTGCTTCGTTGGAGATTTGCGAGCAGGCGATGGAAAGGGCGGAAATGAGAAACAATCATGTGATGTATGTTATAAAGCAAGGGCAACATCATTTTGCTACGAATGTAACCAGAACTATTGCCAATTTTGTGTTTCTTTTCACGAAAAATTTCAAATCACTCAGGATCATAACGTTGCGGGACTGGACGAAACAGGGACACGAAAGGTGAAACGAAAGGTGAAATGCCCGACACACGAAAAGAACGAGATTCAGTATTTCTGTGAGCAATGCAAGAGTCTTATTTGCGTTGACTGCATGATGACCACGCATAAACACCACAAATCTCGCGATGTTGTGGAGGTAGCCAACGAATTTAGACGTGATTTGGCATTAGAAATCAACAAAGAGGAATATTTTCAACACCTCGAAGCTTTGAGTGATTATAGCAAAAATATGAAAAAGAAACGTGAAGCAAATGATGGAAACGAAGATAGGCTGATGAAGTCTGTTGAAGAACAGCTGGAAGCCTTTCAAAATGTTTTAAATGATATAAAACTGGACTTCATTAGTGAGATTTCCGATACAGGAATGGCTATTCAAAACGAGGCAAAGGATGGAAGGAATACAATGGAAAGACGATTCAAATCCTTCGCGGCAATTTATTTCTTTAGCAAGCTTTTGCTCGATCAAGCTGATGACACAGCAGTTGTATCTCACACAGTAAATCTTAGAAAGCGTCTGGAGACCCTTAGTGCTGACAATACAAGTAGAAAGAAAATGGAATCGGAAAGTGGCATCGCCTTTGAGCCAGGCAAACTGGATAAATCTATATTGAAAGAATTATTTGGTAAGCTACACGATCCCAGCTCAGAAGAAAATGAAAAATCAAATGATGAAAAAGCAACTGAAAAACCATTATTGATATGCAAATTTGAATGTCCACCTGGGGACTGTGTCGTTTCTGGCATAGCTCCAACCGATAATGATATGGCATGGGTTTGCATGGGGGCTGAATCGGTTTTGCACTTGTTCACTCTAGAAGGAGCCTGTAAAAAAACGGTATCGTTTAGTCATGTGTTAGACGATGTGACTTACATGAGTGGACGAGGTTACCTCACGTCCAACGGGGCAAAAATGGTCCGTGCGGTGGATGCGAATGGTCGAAAATCTGTATACACAAAAGCAGAAATGTGTGTTAGAGGTATAGTAGCAGACACAACAAAAAACCTGCTTTTCGTTAGCTGTGTTGAAAACGACGTGTTCTTTGATGGCAAGCTTGACGATATTTCATCCATAATTTCTATAGAAAAGAATGAAGGAATTGCAAGCATACCAATGAGCCGTGACGTTCCGTATCCTGCAAGACTGGCTTTAAATAACAATAACATTATCATTTCTGATTGGGTAGCACAGGCTGTTATCATACAGGACAACCAAGGTAAAACAACGGCATGCTACCAGGGAGACAAAGATAACGAAGGAAAAAAAACTGACTTCAATCCAAGAGGCATATGTGTGGATGAAAACGGATACATTTATGTGGTCGATATTGAGACAGACACCATTCAAATGCTGGACTCTACAGGAAAATATCAGAAAGATTTTCTAAACAAAGACGATGGATTAGAAAGTCCTTGGTCTGTCGCGTGTGATGCAGCTAGTCGACTCTGGGTCGGCTCTCAAAATGGAACCATAATGATATTTAACTTGTCCTTGACAGGCACATCTGGTTCTTCTGAAAGTGACAAAACACGGTCATCGACTCCGGATCAGAGAGGTTTGTCAGGAAACAAGAGCAGATCAGACACTAGCTCTAAAGCTGGAAGTCGTAACGGGCACTCGAGAGGCTCTACCGGAAGTAACGAGAGCGGAAAATGATAGACATGGTATTTTTAATTATACCAACGACGTGTGAAGTATTCAGCAAGGATATTTTTTTATATTTGATATTAAATATATTTCATGATTATGACATGATATTTAATAACTATCACAAGAGGAAAATATACATTTAACGGGAACTCATTACATTTCCTTTGTTTATTTTTGTAGTCAGGTTTGTCAAGTAAATAATTACTAAAGTCTTCTGTGATCCGCACTTTTTATTTAGACATTGTAAAGAAACATGAATTTGTAGTACAAAGAATGGAACTTGCAATACAAATGTATTGTTTGCTTTTAATAGCATGAATAATATAATATAATATAATAGTACTCATATACAGTGACTAGACTACTTACTAGGGAATCAGGTGTGTGATGGGTGCCGGTCAGGTGCCCAGTGAGTGGACTGGCCAGGTGAAAAAAGATAGTGGACAGTGCACCGCATGCGCTACTCATTCACTCGCTTACACAAATATCATTCACAGCCCGTGCTTAAAACTCGCGCTGGTAACATTGTTTAACAAGTTCACCCGGTTACACTTTAATAAAGAAAAGCATGAATAAAGGCGATTCAACATAAATTATGAGGCTTTTGATGAAAATTAGGGAAATATTAGAGCTACCATTGACGCCAGATAGTTCGACGTTACGCCTGACAACAAGACAACGCTGTTTCAATAGGCTGGTTTTTATTATATTGTACCATTTTATGTTAATAACTAGTAAGAGTCGCTTAAACATGTTTTATATACAAAGTTGGAGAAAATCAGAAAAGTTCACTTGGAATATTTCAATTTCAATTACAGCAAATTTTATTCCTCAAAAAGGGCAAAGGCATAGAGCATCAGGCATTGCCTATTCAAGCTTTCTCCAAGCAACTTCTGGATGGCAATACAAGTGAATTATTAAACACATATAGACAATACATAATAGATCAGTATATCATAGTTTCACCATTTCCCCACTGGAATATATACAATTACGTTTAGTCAAATATTTTAGTGCCTATGATATATTCTGAGATACATTGCAATAAGAATACATTTACTTCTTCATCAAATTCATGACACCCTTGAATTAATACATTAATATTAAAATGATCATTGGTAATATTTTGGTTTATCAACTAATTTCATAGAATAACTATTGAATGGTTGTAGAGTAGACAGGCCAAGAAGTAATGTTCTGCAGATTCTTCGCCTAAATTAAAAGAACATAATGGAGAATCTTTTGAGTGATCAAGAAAGAGATCAGAGTTCAAATTACTGGCTTCATTCCTAAGTTGAAAGAAAGAGATTCCCAATTAAATGGGCAGTGCCTCTGCGCAATCCTGTAATAATTTTAGCAGCTTCTAAATGAAATGATTCTAACTGTTGCTTAGATTGTGCAGTGCAGTTGTCCCATAACATATCTGCATACTCTAATATCGGCATAATATATGTTCTCTAAATTTTCAAAAGTTTTTTTTTCATATTTCTTTTTTAGTGATTTTAATACATTTATTCTTTTAAATGATTTCCCATATATATACAAACACGAAAAAGAAACGCCGGGTACACTAAATATACTACAAATGATTTATTGCTTGGCCTAGAATATTGACACTCGGTCAGGTTGATGTGTTGTTCGCAGTCACTAGGTACACGTGTTTAAAATCACACAATACCTGACCTCCGCGCTCCGTGCGAGGCACGTGCTAAAATACAAGAATCCCGTGCAGGGGAAAGTCATTGAGTTCGCCAATGGAAATTTTCAGTCTATTTGATACTGTTCAAGTATTCAGATTGATTTTTCAAAGTTTGATTCGAATTAAGCAGATTACATCCATGCCACGATTGACGGAAGTCCAGCGGGGACATGCTATATGAATGCTTTTGCAGGGTCAGGGCCAACTTCAGGTTGCTGCACATTTTGGTGTGCATATTCGGACAATTCAACGTCTTGTCCAACGTGTGCGAGTGACGGTGAGGGTCATCGACCGACCGCGAAGTGGACGTCCGCGCGTCACGACGCCACATCAGGATCGGTTTATATAAATTCCATAATACATAGAATTTATTGACAGTTTAATAAATTCCATAATACATGTAAGATTCTGTTTATCACATAACCAATTAAAATGGAAAATCGCCAGAACACTACAATTTATTTCCACTATGCAATCAGCTGTTTCTATATAGGTCAAAACCAACGCACAGTAATCATAGTTTTATCCATCCGTGTTGCAAATAGTACCTTTTTTCAAAGATTGAATAAAAGATTGTTGTGTTCCAAAATAATATCGACAAAGTAAAGCATTTAAATTCTGTTTAATGCCAAAATTACTTTAAAAAATCACACAAAAAAATCTTCTGGAAATTCACTTGGTATTGGTAACATGACGTCACTCGCCTCGTCATCACGGGTCATCAGGTTCGGCCTAACTGCTCCAGTTACTGCGTCACTGTCACTTTCAATGATAGCTTTTCATTTATTTCTGGTAACTCAAAAAATGTATACAAAAGTTTCATGTCATACAAAGTTTTGCTCAACGTATTCTTGTTTGATTGATCCTGTATAAACTTCCCCACCTCATCTTCTCTGACTGAAACGACTTGGTTCAGGGGCAACAGGACCGCCATCCGGAGCGGTCGTCTGCTGTTGGGAGGGATCTACCACCTTTTCAATAGGATCGCGCTCAAGCTCAATTTGAAAGTCAATCCCACACAATTCAACATTATAAAATACAGCAAACCCCCGTGGGATTATTTCCTTCACCACACCAGTCCCCTTGTAATTAATAAAAAAACTGTGTCGCCAATGTTGATCTGGTCAGCCATATTTTACTACAGTTTGTTGTCGTAGTAAATGTGGTGTTAGCCAACACATTTTATGATACAGACTATACTTATAGTTAGGTCAATATTGCAGTATAGTGTTCTGATATAGAGTATAGGACAGCCTCGTTTTAAGAGAGAGCTCGACGGCTGCCATGATGTAAACACCAGTGCTGAATAAATGTCCAGTGTTCCTGCAAAATACATGTCCTCCTCGTTGTAATCAATAACAGAACAGTAAATAAAAGTAGTACGCGCGCGGGCGTATGAATACGTTCCCACGGTTTTGACCAATCAGCAGACCCCAAACCTTTATTACACATGTGTATTACCATCATTATGACATGGGCGTATGACATGGGAAAACGGGTCGGTTATGTGATAAAAGACTTTCTCACTTACGTAATCGCCATCTCACAGCTACCGAAACTGCAAATAACACTATAGGCAGTCATAACCGTCATATTCATCCTGATACGGTTCGAAACCGATTACGCGTCAATGGCCTAAGAGCCCGACGTCCCTATGTTGATCTGCCCCTAACTCCTGCGCGTCGCCAACGACGATTGGCTTGGTTACAAGCACACTCGCCCAGAAATTTTCCTATGAGGCAATAGAGACGGGTATTCTTCACTGACGAATCCCGGTTCACTCTCTACCGTTCGGACGAGCGACGTCGTGTATATCGACGTCGAGGGGAACGTTACATCGACGCGTGCGTCGCTGAGCGAGATAGGTTTGGCGGTGGTTCAGTATGTGTTTGGGGTGGTTTCTCCTATGGGTTTAAATCACCCCTGATCGTGATTGACGGTAATTTAACCGGCGTAAGGTATAGAGACGAAATCCTTCGCCCAGTTGCCGTGCCATGTGTGCAAGCACGGAACCTGATATTCCAGCAAGACAATGCCCGGCCCCTTGTCGCTAGAGTTTGTCAGCAATTTCTTGCCCACAATAACGTAATCCCAATCGATTGGCCAGCATTCAGTCCAGATTTGTCTCCAATTGAGCGTTTGTGGGACGAATTGGATAGGAGAGTTAGGAGACGTCCAAATGCCCCCACTAATCTGGTCCAGCTCACACGTGCCTTGCATGAAGAATGGAATAACATCCCCATTGCAAGAGTTAACACCCTGGTGAATTCCATGCATAGAAGAATCAGGGCTGCGACGGCTGCACAAGGAGGACACACAAGATACTGAAATGTCCGGCCGTGTTGCGCAATACAAGTAAGGTCATCGCTAAAAGGGGGGTATTTTTGACATAATTAGCATTGATAATAGATAGAACCTTCAACAAATGGTTCCAAATAGATGAAATTGTATACAAAAATGAATGAAATAATGTAACATTAAATTATATTATTAAAAGAATCTTTTTAGGTTACACGGCGTTTCTTTTTCGTTTTAGTATATAATTTACATGATGAATCCATTTACCATCTTAAGAAAAAATAACACCTAAATGTTGATGAGTTACACTCTAGTGAACTCGGACATTATTAAATAATATATCTGGGTGTATTATATATATATTTTTCCTGGTAAATTTCATTGAAACAGTTTTAGAAGGATTAGAATTAATATCCAACTGGTTACCCCAAGATCTAATATTCAAAAGATTTTCTGAAATTTTATTTGCTATTTCAATATTGTTATTTTCAACCCTTAGTCTGATAGTAGTAGTAAACCAAGGTTTGTCATTTGGTCGTATTGTAACTGAACAATGGGGTACATGTTCTTCAATTTGTTTATTTATGGTATAATCAATATATTATTGAAATCTTTTGCATCATTGATCTGGAAAATGGAAATCCAGTCAATATTACTTAAATTAGCATAAATCCTCTCAATGTCAGCACCATCATATTCAAATAATGTTTTCTTGTATGCAGTAAGTTTATATACCGAATATGAGATGCTAAATTTGATAAGACAATGATCACAACTAGTGGGAGAAGGAACAGAAGCCTCATTAATTAACCTATTGTTGTTAGTAAGAACAAGGTCAATAGAGGCAGTCGTGGTCGGTGTAATTCTTGTCGGTTCATTGATTAAACTGGTTAAATTATATTTCGTAAGTAGTTGACCTAGATGAGAGTATGGCTGAAGAGCTATCATATCTACATTTGTGTCAACTGTTAAAATTACATCAGTAACACCGTCATCAAAAACTTAATCA